CGATATCTGAACCTTTTTTGGAATTGGGTCAAGTTCAACAATGCCTGGGTCAAAGAAGGGACAGAGCCTCTTAGATGCAAACAGGAAAGTAAGTCATGGTGACTTGTCTGTTACTTGTAACGATGTGTCTGATGTTAAACACGACATGGTTGATGTTACTGTTTCGCCGTTCAGGGATAATAGAAACATCAAACTCCCTAAATTTGAACCACGGTGTTTTGATGGAAATCCGGCTGATTATTTACAATTTGTAAAGGAGTTTGAGATCATGCTAAGTGGTTTTTTATTAACTGATGAAATGAAGTTAATGTATTTGATGAGGTATTGCACTGGAGATGCTTCAAGAGCTATACAGTGCTGTAAGCTCATGCCCCCTAATGAGGGCTACTACGAGGCTATGAGCATACTACGTCAAAGGTTTGGAAGACCTTCAATGATTGTAAGGAACGTATACGAAGCTGTCAAAGGTAACGGCAGTCAACTTCAAGATAACTCCAAGGCACTTACTGAGTTTATATATAATCTATTGACTTATAAGAATACGTTGATTTCGATGAATTGCATGAGTGACCTCAACTCGAGTTTTATACTAGAAGTAATAGCAAGACGTCTACCTACCCGACTGCAAAGGAAGTGGGTGAAGATAAGCTCCCGTTTGGAGGATGAAGGTATCGAGCCAAAATTTGATGATATCCTGAAACTGGTAAAAGATAGTGTCAATCAATCTATGAGCAAGTTCACCAGTATATTGGTTCTCACCCCTAGAATAGAGCAGTCTGAGGGTAAAACGCAATCACTGATGACGAATAGGCCTCAGAGAGGTGGATATCGAGAAGACTCCATGATGTCTAGTAATGCATATAAACTTAGTGAGTGCAACAGGTTTCGTAGTACATCCTCAACAGATAAGTTGCAAGATGCAAGACAAACACGGTTGTGTTTCACACGTTTGCAAGAGGTGCATACAGAAGTGAACTGTGAACCAGTGAGCAAGTTCAGTGATAAGCTAAATGTAAACTCCAGGCCTGACTCCGAATTGTGTGACGATAACGGTGAGGTCAAGAGGTCTGTAGTTGCAACTGGTAAGCCATTGTTGAATAGAGTGTCACAGAATAGAGTTATTGCTTCTGAGTGCAGTTCTGACTCCACAAGTTTACAAGGTGTTACTAGTCAGAGTGAAGGTATAAAAATGTTTAGGGATTTATGAGGAGGAACCCAAATCATCTACTGCTGTTATTAAAGAGTTTGAAAATGATGAAATTGACGGTAAATTGAATATTTGTGATAATGATCATGATAGTGCAGATTTGTCTTTGGTTGATCATGATGAAATGAGGGGAGTGCCCACTACTGCTAAGTTAATTAGGGGTTTTGTGCAGCTCAAAGGTGAAGTAGAAATAAAAGAGTTGCAGGGGGCATGTATACTTGTCAGACCGTCAGTTTAATTGATCAGCATGTAGTCCACCTATCATCAGATGCTAGTGCTAAACCTGAGCTGATAGTGAAAGACACCAGTGGTAATGTTCTTGCAGGTAGACAAATTTCTGAAAGCCGAACAACAACAGCTTCTGATCCACCGCTAGTTTCATCAACTGGTATCAATCAGTTGTCGTTGGTGTTGTCATCCACAATGAAACAGACGCCCATCAACTCAAGTATCTTGTGCAATGACTTTGATAGTATTGGTGCATTTGAAAAGACGAAAGATGTTGCTCAGTTTAGTGAGAATAAGCCAAGTGTAAACGAAAGAGTAATTGTTAAATTGACTTGCATGAATAAAGGCATTTCTAGTTTCAAGTTACTATTTGAATGCTATTAGCTTTGGTGCAAATTACTCAGCTTCTACGCTTGGTTGATCAGATACATCGTGTGTTTGTTCGTCATCTATATTCTACGATACAATGACATGAGCGTGTTACCGTTCAGATTTGAGGATATAGCTGATAGAAGGAAGTCAGCAAATGAACTCTGTGACGATTTTCCAACCTAGGGCGTCAACTTGAGAAGGTTTGTAGGCGTACTGCTGTAAGTCCTGCAATTCTTCAAAGGAATTCCATCCTGACATGATCCGTGAGTTTGTGTGTACTATTTGTATATACGTTTTGTGTGTCATATCAATTGGTGTATCTTGGATTCATTGTGTTTACTCGCTGTTTTCGTACCTTGTTGTTACTGCGTAATTTTGTTAAAATTTTCGTCGTGATTACTTCTGAAGTTGTTTCGAGTCTTCTACATTCGTGAATGAACTGATTGATGCTACAGACAGCAGATGGTTCGTATACGCCGGGGAGGCTATTGCTGAGAATAAAATCCATACGGAGATAAATGTTAGCTGCGGTCCCACACGCCGGGGAGAAAGAGTGTAAACGACTGGGGCTTGCGTGCGTCACCGTTACTAGAACTGAGGCAGAATGAGTGACGAGCGATTTCAGTGGTAATTGGTAGTGAGTAGATAAGAGGATGTGCGTAGAGTATCGTGAGGTGGTGCTATGGTCACGTTGCATTCCGCAAGAGTCATTCTAGCAAGTGGCGATTGTGTTGCAAGAAGACGTGTTAAGAGAATGCCTTTATCTGGAGGCGCAGGTCGTCATTGATGTGTGAGATTGTGCTGTGAGTATGCTTGTGGCGTGTTGGCTTTTCTGTTCTGTTTACCATTTCAGTTCTGTCCGTGTGACCCAGGTTCTCTCAATGGCATCCAAGTCAACGTGTATTGGTCGTGATGGAAAAAAAGGGTTGGATCCCTCTTTTGCCGGGGAGTGTCAATGTAGTTGAAGATTGAACGATCAATTCATGGTTGTTTGCTCAAAACCAACTTCCCCAATTTTCGCGGAGGCATCAATACGACAGTCATCGTCTCATCGGTCGCTGTTCAGAAAGAAGTGAGGAGACAATCGTCAGAAGTAATATTGTGACTTATTATTGTAATATTTGTTCACAGACCTTAGTTGTAACAGTGTTTATATGTTGGTGTTACAATAAAGAATCCTCGAGTCGCCAATTGGTGTTTTGGTTTTTTCGTCCGTTATTACTAGGCGTTTCTGAGAAACTTCAAGGAACAGCGTGAGTCCCAGCGTAGCAAGAGCTGGGCATTAACGGCTTAGGTGATATGACTGGCAACTTAAAACTGCTGTAAATGATATTCATTTCCGATTTTTTAAATACATTGTACAAGAATTTAAACACACCATTAAAAAGCCGCCTGGGTCTTGTCCCTTAAAAACTTTATTCACTTCCGTGTGTTTCACTTCGAACGATTGAACAAACTGATCACTTAATGCGAAATGACTGGGGTTCAGTTGATCAGACGAACGTATCTGATCCCCCACAACCAGTCTGTTACAACCAAACCTAATTTGAAGAACCTTGTAACAGCCGCTTCACGAACAACTTTTTGAGGAGACAGACTTGCAGTCTCTGACCAATTCCGAAACACAACCAAACGGTTTCAAATAGCGATATTGACAACAGACTGCTGAGGAACTGCACGATTACCTTTTCAAATATCGGATTATCCGATACCCAAACAACAGGAACACAAAGATGGCTTGCAGCAAACAAAAACATGCATTCAGACAAGAAATGTACATTAGTCCAATCGGTAGAAATTGCATAATGGAATATAAATTATAACTTCGATGTTTTAATGCGTAATATTAGACGTAACACTCATAATAGTGAATTGCATGGTTAAAACCACTTCTCAGATATACTGCACCTCTTCATATAATCATATTTTGGCACTTTCACAACCGTAAATCTAGTCCGGTGTCTCGAATCGTGCAATTTTATGGTTATCGTTCAGGGGGATATTTCAGGCGAATTTCACCGCCACATTCACAAGGATCATGGGTATCTTTATCTACATGTTAGCGACAAAGTACACAAGCTAAAGGGTCTTCACCAAATTTTGAGTAAACTGTTCACTCCAGGACAAAAAGTAACTTAAGAGTATAAGCGGTAAACAATCTTCCTGAATAGTAAGGTTGATGACAAAAAATTGACTGCAGCTGTGATACTAGGGAAATATATAGGGAAATAATATACGGGACCTTGAGTCAGATTCGTCAAATGGGCAGAATTATGGTGGTATTTAAAGCTTCTAGTTCACTCAGGATTCAAATGACTCCGTTGGACGAAATATAGAGACATACCGAGTAACATGTAGGGACGCTTTGATTGGAAACAATGATGAGACAAGTAGTTCAGAGCCTGCGTTGTTATTAAAACTCAGGTTTATCTAGAATGCGTGTAAATCAATGTTATTTCAGGGTGAAGTAAACCATATTAAATCTACTGAAAAGTGATATAGTCATGCAAAGCAGATACCTATGTAGCGTTTGTTAATCAGATCAAAGCAAAACGTGTGTTACAGAAGTGATATGAGTCACGGATATACGAAAATTTTCGACCAATGCTTTCATCTATCAGGGACTATTAGAAAGTTATTCAACTGGCTGATTAATATGCAACACATGATTATTTACACTTGCGAATTCATTTCCTTCCGATATCGCCAGCAACAGATCAATGCAGATTTAACTATTATCATTCTCAAGACACGCAGAATGAAACGTAGCACAACTTCAGGAGTGGATTGGATCTAAGCGACCAGAAGTGGGCATGAATTTTATTCTATTCATTCTCATAACGCATCCATGAACTGTTGGCAGCACTGTTTTTTCTGAGAATTCATGTATTGTCCCCATAAAATTATTGTTTTGCTATAAACGAAGATAGTATGACACACCGAAGGGCTAGTATTATTATTATATGTGTTTAGATAACAATCAGTTTAAAGTTTGGAAGACAAGATATCTGTGTAGTGGGGATAAGATTTTGTTTTCACCCACACTCAGCTGGTTCTCATCAATGCTTAGTCTTGTTTGAACTTTGAATCCATGAAATAAAGTAACTTTTTGTTATTTCGCCCTAAAAACCTATACTTGGCGCTCCCACGTAAGTTTATTCCGTGCGCCAAATTCAATTGCTTCCAAACAGGCATGTTGGAAGACTCTTATTCTCGTACGGTGGGCGATGTCTTGGAACATTTCAACACTAATATTGATACCGGATTGACAAAAAAGCAAATTGATGCCAGTCTGGAGGAATACGGATACAATGGTTTGTGTGATTAGTCAGGAGACATTTTTCTAGAACTTCCCCCGGAAGAAAATAAGCCTTTGTGGCGCTTGGTACTTGAACAGTTCGATGATCTCTTGGTCAAAATACTTTTAATGGCAGCTGTTATATCCTTCGTAATTCTTCCACGTTGTATTTAATGCATTCACTCTAGGTTTTGGCATGGTTTGAAGATAGCGAAGATGCAACTACTGCATTTGTGGAACCAGTTGTTATCATGCTCATTTTAATTGTCAACGCAATAGTTGGGGTTTGGCAGGTAAGATATTTTTACAAAATACTTTATGAGCACAGGAACGTAATGCTGAGTCCGCCATCGAAGCTCTGAAGGAGTACGAGTCGGACACCGCTAAGGTTATTCGTCACGGTTATTCGGGTGTTCAAACTGTGAAAGCCCGAGAGCTGGTGCCTGGTGATATTGTGGAAGTTTCCGGTACGTCGCTAATACACATTAAACATGGTTTTGTAAATTTGTCATTGTAAAGCACATTTTATACAGTTGTCCTCAGCGTTTTGATAGTGTAACCAAAGCCCAGTCGATCAAAATGGCTGAAAAAAAGATGAATAGTGAGCATGGCCTGTAGAAAAAATGTGAATTTTAATTATATGACAAGATCTTTGCCGTTTTCTCATTCTGACCAAAATTTAACCAGGACTGGCTCAAATAATATATTTCATTTATGTAGCTTTTGGGAGTGTTTCTGTTGGAATTGCCGTTGCGATAGTCTACTGAAATGGCAAAAAGGCCGCCACCACTGGGTTATGAAGTTTTTCAAAAGACTTCTGATATTATAAGTTTTAAAATCGTCCATTAAATATGTCAACAGTGAGAACATCAGGTTTTTAGTTGATAGCTACTTAGTAACTTTGAGTCCCTTAGTTGCTAAAACAAATATCTCTTTATACTAATCTTTTCATGAATTGAGTGTTGTCTAAGTATTAAGTTAGTGAGAAATAGTTGTGTGATGTGTTGTCTGTGACGATCTATAAGATATTTACCTAGTCTTCTGTGACGTAAGCCGGCATGTATTCTAAGTGATTCATGTTTTCCCAACCATGCTGGTCTTTTAACCGTTGATGTGTAATTTGGTTACGCTGGGATTATAGCCTAAAGAAAAATTCGTACTGTTTAACATTGGGAGGTCACAACAGCAAAGTTTCAGCGCAGTACCGTCTTTGTTATGCTCTTTGCACTTAAGTAATGTATTGGTGTTGTTTGGTCCCGACCGTGGGTTCCATTTTATTGTCAATGTTGGTGTGGTTTCATATAGAGCTGGTGTAACCGTATAATCTATCTTTTTACAAAGGTTTGTAAACTACTGGCATGTACAAAGCTGATCTCTCTTAAATATTCCAGATTTACCAGTAATGATGGCTCACTCTGTACCGTGCAGTGTGGATTTTATTATATTTCCTAACCTCAGTCTGAAAAAATACGTTCCTACAGAAATCAGTAGAATTCCCCTTGTGAGCACCGGTATATTTCATGACAGGTTCCCGTCAATTGGTAGAAGGATAGTATTAAAACTCAGATTCGGGTGTGCACTGGTGGAATTTGTGGTAGGTAATTGTCCGTTTGACATCCAGCACCCATCCAACAAATCATAATACTAGTCGCTCTGTTGTCATCGTCTTCGTTTACTTGTTTGCGGTTTGTATTGGTTTACTGTAGGAGATCAACCACTGTTGTATAGATGAGAAACCAAGTCAACAAAAGTGGTGTCAACATAATGTCAACCAAATGAGAACAGTTAAGTTTTCATGAAAATCGTTTCCGAGTTACCCCCTTTCACCAGTATTCGTGGTAAAAAGGAAAATAACACTGCTCATTTCACTAGTTGGCCTACTGAATCAATTAAATAGTAAGTAACACGGCCTAAAATTTAAAGCCCTTATTAGTTTTGCATACAAGTTTGTGTCTTTTACTGCAACTAAACTGAATTACTTTTCAATATTGTGTTTCATTTAGTTGGAGATCGGGTTCCGGCAGATATAAGAATAGCTAAAGTCTTGTCTACAACACTCCTCATTGATCAGTCCATTCTTACTGGTGAATCAGTTTCCGTTTCTAAACACAGTGATCCTATATCTCAATCCCGAGCTGTTAATCAAGACAAAAAGAACATACTGTTTAGCGGTACTAATGTGGCGTCAGGAAAATGCATTGGAGTTGTAGTTGGCACCGGATTGTGTACAGAAATAGGGAAAATCCGAGATCAAATCATGCATACAGAACAAGATAAGACTCCTCTTGGGCAAAAAATCGATGAGTTTGGAACACAGCTGTCAAAGGTACGGATTTGGTTCTTATTTCCGACTTTGTTTCTTGTAGATATTCTATGAGTGTTGATTGGTATTTACACTATTTAAAATAGGATGTTTATAATGTCGATAGTCCAGTCTTGTTTCACACTAGCTGCAACTGAACAGCAATCAATAAACATTGCCATTTTTTTTTCAATTTTTAGGTTATAACATTTATATGTATTGCTGTATGGTGCATTAACATTGGTCATTTCAATGACCCAGTTCATGGTGGTTCATGGTTCAGGGGCGCTGTATACTACTTCAAAATAGCCGTCGCACTCGCCGTAGCAGCTATTCCAGAGGGATTACCAGCTGTAATTACGACTTGTTTAGCTCTAGGGACACGGCGAATGGCTCGCAAAAATGCTATTGTCCGGTCGTTGCCTAGCGTGGAAACCCTTGGTTGCACAACAGTTATTTGTTCGGACAAAACTGGCACTCTCACAACCAATCAAATGACTGTTTGTCGAATGTTCACTTTTGCCGATGATAATCGAAGCAATGTCCGGAGTGGTGATGGATTGAAACTGAAGTTTGATGAATTCGAAGTTACTGGATCGAAATATGCTCCTGAAGGAGTTGTGTAAGTTTTTGTCTTTTTATTATATCGTTTAATCCACCATCCTAGCATGCTCTTCTAGTTTGTTTTTGAACTATTGCACTCCTAATGGATTTCCTATGATACTTATACCACTTCGATATCCAGTGTTTTGTTATCTTAATTGTTTCAGAACTCGATTCGTTAATTTGTTAAGATAACTGAGGTTACAAAAGTTGTCACTAGTATGAAACGAGGCAAAGCAGCGGGACCTGATGGAATGACCCCAGAGGTGTTTAAGAACGGTGGAGACAGCTTACTGCCTGCGTTAACTATGGTTATTAGGCAGCGTCTGGAAATCAAAGGAAGTCCCGTCGGTTTGGTGTAAGTCATTGATTATCCCGATATGCAAGAAGGAAGTCAAGTCTTCCTTCACAAGGGGATTAGATTTACCAATATAGTATCTAAAGTTCTAGACTCAATAATAACGCGTAGACTAAGCTGTTCTCCAGAGGAACAAACACGAGACAACCAGGCAGGCTTTAGACCAGGAAGAGTGTATTGATCATAGAGTAATACAGTATCATCCATCAGATGATTTTTCTGAATACGTTGAAATTGTTATCCAGGAGATAATTATACCCCATTTTAAAGTTGGTTTGTTGTTTGTAACGGCTCATGTTAGTTACCAACTATGACTCTTTTTAACAAAGGTTCTCACACTCTGGGACGATCACTTTAAGAATGGTTCTGCGCCAAAGGTTTGATACTGTCTACGAAAGCATCAACAACAGTCTGTGTTTTGAAGATAATCAATGTCCTTCCGTATGAAGGGCTAAAGTATTCTTGCTTAAAAGTTTCAGCAACAACAGTAAACTGTATCGCTAGTTTCCAAACAGTATAATGTGGTAGTGCTGCAAGACTGGTCAACACCGACTCCTAGTTTAGAGATGGGGAGTGAAACAACTGAGCGTGTTTACTAACACTTGAAAGTAGGTTTAGTTCTAATGGACTGACTGTTGATATTCATATCAACACCTTAATAGTAGTTTTACAAAATCTTTTTTGTTTCTTTTTTAGGCATTATCAAGGAAGAAAAATAAACTGTTCTGATTATCCATGTCTTGTGGAGCTTGCGAAAATTTGTGCGTTGTGCAACGACTCGTCTGTAGAGTACAATGAGTCTCGGCATACATATGAAAAAGTGGGTGAAGCTACAGAAACTGCCTTGGTTTGTTTAGTTGAAAAAATGAACGTTACAGGACTTTCTAAATCGGGTGTAGCTGATCGTCAACTTGCTATGCTCTGTAATCGTGATCTTCAGGTAGCTTATGTGTACTGTTTAAACATATTCCCAACTTTAGAAACTGTATGAAAGGAGATTCACTCTCGAATTCTCTCGAGACAGGAAGTCAATGTCCACGTATGTTGTTCCCCGAAACCAAGCTTCTGGTTCCGTTGGAAAACTTTTTGTCAAGGTAATGTTGCAAATATTCTGTAGTTATTGTTCATTAAGCCGTTCATATCACTGTGTGTATATTTAGAATTTATCGTTAAATTCAACTGTTATAAATATAAAGCAAGGAACTGGAAGAGTCTGTGAATATTAACCATCAGTCACTCGCTATCATTCATAAGATAGCATTCATTAGATATGTTTATTAAAGATCTTTGAAATACAACAGCCGACTGCCTAGTGGCTTCCTATACTTGATGGACTGATACTTTATATAGCTGTGAAACATGTTGATTTCATTTACCGTTGCAAGACAGAAAAAAATGAGTGCTGTTTTGGACGCATTCCTATCAACGAAAATCTTAGGGGTGTGTGTATGTGTATAGAGATAAAGCTACGTCATTTTGTATGGCTCAGCATTCTTTTTGTTTCTTGGGTTTCAGGTGGAACATAGGGCTCTAGCAGCACATTTCTGTTCGTTGCAATCTCTTTTAGCTGGTTGCACGATCGCCTATAAGCTTTCATTTCCTTCTGATACAATCTCTACATCACCGTTGGATACAACATTTTACATAATTTCGAATATCCGGTCTCCTTTATTAGTTTAAACAAAGAACGAACATTTCTGCAGGATAATAATTCTTACATTGCACAAATGGTCGATATGGGTACATACTGGCAACATAATTGAGAAACCTGTCTTAGTTAAGAGAATTTTCGGTCATTGAAAATAATTCCTATCAGGTGGATACCACCATCTACTTTACTAGTGTTTCCATGAATTTCATATTTGTTGCAACACAAAATGACAAGCTATTCATTCCTATACCAAATGACTTGTTTAATTACCATTATTATTGCTCTTGTGCTTCCAAGTGATACTGGCTCCTCTGTTGGTAATTCTCACCTACTTAGTGTTATTGGGAGACTTGTAGGTGTTAACCAGTTAACCACAGATGATGACTCCTGACTGTAACCTAAAGTTTCGTCAACCCATAATATGGTTGGCTTTTACTGTGTCAATTGAGCAAATATGTGCTTAACTGCATTTGGTTTGTCTTACCAATGTTCAAGGATATTCATATATTTCAAAGGATTCCAATAAAATACTCACTTTTTATTTGCATGGGTTTTATGTTACTTTACAAGGGTGCTCCGGAGTCTATATTGGATCGTTGCACTTACGTACGAACTCCAGGTGGAAAATTGTTGTTAACGCCGGAATTAAAGGATGAAATCTTAAGGAAAATAGCTACTTACGCTACTGGACGCGAAACGCTTAGATGTTTGGCTTTAGCAACGAGAGATGATCCACCTTCCCAATCACAATTTGATCTAAAGGATCCGAAAAACTTTAAAGATTATGAGGTAAGCTGTACGTGGACTGATGAAACTATCCTTCTGTACCTCAATCAATTTTCACTAGACTTGCATGCTCTCAGCTGGTGCTGTGTATAAGACCGTTACTGTAATGATTTTAAACTATAATTGTGACTACAAATATGTGATATGTAGGCTAGGAATTTCAAAAAATAACCTTAACACTAGAATTTACTAGATCTCAGTAGTATAAACCAGGCTGTTTTTCTTAATGTGTCCTAGAGGATGGTTCTCTAAGATGTAATAAGATTACAGAATGGTGTATGTGTGTGTGTGCAAAAAATACTTGTTCAGCGGTTTTGCAGTTTCATAGTCATTACTTTTTGGCAAGATGCGTGCAGAATACGGTTCTAATCCAACTACGATTCTATATATCCGTGCATTTGTCCATAGAAAGAAAGCTAAATATGTCATGTGTAAAACTTGGACATTATGGTAGTATGTTCATTTATTTGATCACACTGCAGCAATCAGAATGACTCATTTCCGTGATTATCATCAAGAAATACGCTTCTGTGCTAAGTTCAGTTCAATGAAGTGTGATTAATAGTGCATGTGTTTAACTGTAATCACATATTTCCTCGACAAAAAATCCTACTTCAAGCGGAATCGTGTTTCGATGTAGATTGTTACAAAACAACCACCCGTCTCTGTTCTGAAAACATTTAGGTGATTATGTTACACTAGAATGCTCTTTGTATACACACTGTTGGTTGGCTATTTTCCATTTCTTGTTAGAGTTGGCTATGATGATTTCAGAAAAGTTATAAGTACTTTTAATCGTGTCCTTTAAGATAGTTTTTCTCACGCTTTCGTCAGGGTCTAAAAGTAATTACTAGAATTAGTGGTGGGGACTCCTTTACTAAATGTCTGAGTCTCCACGGTAATGTTCTGCTGCTTATCTGATTATACTAAGTCTTGAAGACTTATTTATACGTTGTTTTGTGTGTAGCGCATCCACTAACTAATGTTCAGATGTTTTGTGATAAGATTTTGTCGAACAAACTGTTGAAGACAACCAGGAAATATCCCTTATTTGTTTACTGCTGTCTACTTTGTGAAACAGTAATAATTTCTCCGTCTTTATATCACTTGAATTATTTCGTATCTTTAGTTTTAACATTATACTTAACCCATTGATAATCTTATCTTATAATTGGTTTCAATGTATTATTGTTTCCTTACAGTCTGATTTAACTCTTGTGGGTGTTGTCGGTATGGTCGACCCACCACGCAGTGAAGTTGCCGGTAGTATCCAGGACTGTAGAAAAGCTGGTATCCGGGTTATCGTCATTACAGGCGATAATAAAGCTACAGCCGAGGCTATCTGCCGTCGTATTGGCTTATTTGAAGACAAGGAGGACACTTACGGTAAATCTTTCACGGGACGGGAATTCGATGATCTCAGTTTGGAACAGAAAAGAGAGGCAGTGCGAAATGGCAAACTATTTGCACGTGTTGAACCTGCTCATAAAAGTCAAATAGTTCAGTTCTTACAAGAAGACGGTGAAATATCTGCAATGGTCAGTATCACTGCTTTTTTGAAATAATTCATTCAATAGTTTTGCAGTAGAGAATCAGTTACAAAATATGCAATCACTTGTGACCAGTGTATTTATCTCTCAGAGAAGTTAATTATGTTTATCGACTAAAGGGCGTAAAGTGTTTGTTTGAAGGAATTTGATTGACTTCAGGATTGGTGACAAAATGGCTTCAGTCAGAGAACCATTGAAAATGAGGGAGTACTGGACAACTGTTTCGTCCTAGTTTGGGATTCTTCATCAGTATCCACCCATGAGCAATCTCGAGATTTCCTGTATATTTTTCCTAAGTGTTTGCTTGTTGTCCAACTGTTAAAGCACTGATACTTTAATTTTTTACTAGAATATATGTAATAGGCTTCATGAGAATAACCCAGTCCAGTTATTAAGTGAATATTATTCTGTTTACTAAACTAATGGCCACATTTATGGTGTTAGAACTTGTAGTGCTAATTGATGCTTGAATTAGGCAGTGTAAAATTCAAATCCAAAAAGCATTTGTTGAAAGTCAAGTGTATAGTGGTACAAGATGGAACAGTTGTCAGTTGTGATGGTCGTTTTAGTCCAAATATCTATGATCAATAAGGACATGACATAAAATGAAATGGAATAATTCATTAATGTTTGTGTATATATATACCAACAAAAAGTACAAATTTCAAGGGTGTGTAGTCGGTGGCGCGAGAGGCAACTTGAGTACTACAGAGAGGTAAACCCACAAATGGGTTACGCTGAACGTAAGTCCAAGGTGGCAAATAATGAAGTAATAATGATAGAATGGTGTAAACACAAAAGTACTATTAGTTAACGATTATCAGATAACAAATTTGATAAAGTGGATTAAAAAAGATTGTGTAAATAGAATAAAAAGTTAGAAAAAAACTACGCGAATCTGTGGTAGCAGGCATATAAAGAAGGACATGAAGCAGTAAAAGGTTTGAAAAAGGGGAAACAAGGCGAGAAATAGCAGGATAGTGTGTTAATTACCAATGTCTATGCAGGCTTTGTTGGCTTGCAGGTCAAGGTAAGCATAGCGACCAGACATACTTCCTCTGGATACAGGGATCAGATCTCGTATTGATTGCTACCTGTTTATCTACTGATAGACGTAGTCCAGTTCCCCTACATAGCTTACCAAAGATGCCAGCTGCGGTTTCATTTTATGTCCCGTTTCTAGCAATCGGGTTAAGGCCGCACCACTTGCGCATTCAGTATTCCCTTTGCTCAGCCCTACGGTACATGTTTACGTGGGCGCATATATAAAGCCCTTGGAGTTATGGCCTATGTAGCTATCTCTACAGGAGCGGTTTAAATCAAAAATGCACACTGATGAGTCTATCATTGGTTATGTATCATTGAGTTTCTATGAATACTGGTTTAGTTGGGAAAATAAGTACTTGTACCACAATAAACTTTCTGATATTCTAATTTGTCTTTACTATCATATGCTAGAATTAATGGTTTTGTAACTGTACAGCCTGAAGAATTTACTCAAAGCAATTCTTCGCTCTAATTATTATCATTTTAGATAAATTGTGAGGATATTGAAATCACTGAAAGAACAGTATGGTTTCTTCCTCCCTGTATAAATCTTCACTGAATTCTGTTTGTGTCAATTATCTTCCTATTTTTACCAGCTTATAGCACAAAATCTGACTACATTACTAGTTCTTTAATTATAATAACTTATCTTACTAAACATGCCAAACAAGCTGAATGTTATGTGTTTACTTATATACAACAGTTTGAAATGAAGATTGATGGTTTCTCTTTTCACTAACTGGATATTCGGAAAATATGGCATTAAATGTTATTGTTATTTTCAAAAATTTTCTAATATAAGATTCGCTTCCATTGATAATAATAATAATAATTATTATTATTATGGTTTTTATCTGGTTACAGAAGGCTTAAAAGTAGAAAATACCATTCATTATGTGTATACTCTTTAAGTGTTCACTAATCGAATTACAGTTTACTACTGCAGACACCCCAAATAGGTGTGTGCCTGTTGCACAATACTCAACAAATACTAACTCTATTCCAGTAACAATACAAACTACATTAATAATTCTTTAATCATCCTTTTTTCTTTTTTTTCCTCCTCAGACTGGAGATGGTGTTAATGATGCTCCTGCATTGAAGAAAGCTGAAATCGGAATTGCTATGGGAGGTGGTACAGCTGTAGCCAAATCTGCTTCCGATATGGTCTTAGCCGATGATAACTTCAGCACAATTGTTGCAGCTGTTGAAGAAGGCCGGGCTATTTACGATAATATGAAGCAGTTTATTCGGTATTTGATTTCATCTAACATTGGTGAAGGTAAATAAGGTGTTTTTTTCTCCGTTATTGTTTTCGATCATGAAGCAATTGTTAAAGCAATTGATGGTTCAATATACATTATAAGAATATAAATTGCATCATTTACCATTAATAAATCACATTCAATGGTAATACAAATATGATTGAGAAAGGATCTACTTTCATTCGCTTACACAGAGTTAATGTAAAGTGATGAATGATGCTGAAGAGATGACAATTATCTGTAGACCACACTATAATGGTGCGTCAGTGGCATATTGGTTAGGACGCTCGTCGACCATGCACATGGTCCGGGGTTCGATCCCCGGCCACAGATGCACTCCTTTACTTCACTAAGCCAGAAATAATGCTGGTAAAGAGGAAAGGTTGGACATGAGACTGGCAACACCATTCTGTAAAATTAAACACTACTACAGAAACTTTAAGCCACTAGCTTGAGACCCTATGTTCCACTGGGGAACATGAAGGAAAAAAACAGTACAATACCTTATTTGCTACTGACTGAAGTCACAATATTATTTTTTCTGAAGAACTAATTATGAAATTGTGATACAGTGATTACTTTTTGCCAAATAGCTCAAATAACTCATGGTAATGCCAAAATGGATACTTGATGATGCATAATGTGAAGTCATTCTACATTAATCTCTTCTTTTCCTTTCACTTCCCAAGCTTCATTCCTCAGACATTTCGATCTTAGCCTTGGAGGTAATAAATTTGCCATCGTAGATCAGAAAAGAGTGCTCCGGTGTCTCAGTACTAATGTGCTTGTCAATCACACGAAAACTCCGAGTTCAATTCCTAGCCAACATACACCTAGGCTTCGCCCAGCCAGTAGTAAGCACAGGAAAGAGGAGGGGATAGGAGTTAAGCCAGCAACCCCACCCCGTAAAAATAACACCAGTGCTAGTGAGTTTTCAAGGCTGAAAGCTTGAAGCCCCCTATCCCACCTGGGACGCAAAGGAACCAAAAAAGAGTCTTGAACGTATATCTTTCACATGTATGTTTACTGCGAAAGATGTGGATCTTTGATTTTTAAATCGCTCATATTAGTTTAGTAAAAATAGTATAGACACTATTACTCTTGGGGTATTTATAATTATCGTTTTTTAAAATACATGTTACTGCTTAGTGTTGATAATGATACTTTTTCGCAGCTAATTTGATCAGTGAAGTGCAAAACGTTGCAAATCTAAATAAAGTATAATTATATTTGAATAGTTTACACACAATGATAAGTTTTGTTATTGGTAATATTTCGAGCAAAATTACTGCCCGTGTTCACACCACTGTTGGAATTGTTTTATTCCAATTCCAACAATTCCAACAGTGGTGTGAACACGGGCAGTAATTTTGCTCGAAATATTACCAATAACAAAACTTATCATTGTGTGTAAACTATTCAAATATAATTATACTTTATTTAATCTAATCCACAATGCTCAAACTTTTTACTGATATTAGTTGCAAATCTAGTTCATTTAAGTTGAAAAAACTATTGTTTATATCTTTTATAGTGCCGTGCATCGTGTATTTCTTTGCTTATTTTCTTTATTACTACTTTTCCTCTAGTTGTTTGTATCTTCCTGACTGCCGCACTTGGCATGCCGGAAGCTTTGATTCCAGTACAATTGCTTTGGGTTAACTTAGTCACCGACGGTCTGCCTGCTACAGCTCTAGGTTTTAATCCTCCTGATGTCGATATTATGCAGAAACCTCCTCGTAAAAGCAAGGAACCTTTGATTTCTGGCTGGCTTTTCTTTAGGTATATGTTGATTGGTGTTTATGTAGGATGCGCCACTGTTGGTGCTGCAGGTTGGTGGTTCATGGTGTATGAAGGTGGTCCTAAAGTCAATTACTATCAGCTAGTAAGTACTTTTTTTGCAAGTATCACTTCATTCTTCTCATTTTCTGTTGTTTAAACATACAGTTACCCTGGCTTGTTAATGTTGATTTGTGTGTGATTGGTTTTGGGCTATTTATGGTAAATACCTCGTTTTCTATTGTTATTTTTAATTGAGTGAACTTTTAATTGAATTTTAGATTTTCCCGTCGATTGATGGGACTGAAGTGCTCGGTCTCAGGTTGACATGTCGACTTCTTGTGCAGACGCTTCGACGATGTCTGGGCATTTAACTAGTATTTAATTGGTGGAGTGGTGGTGTGAAGTTACAAAGACTGAGATGGTTAGGACATGTGTTACGTATGCCAAGCCATCGCCTCCCTCGACGAGCAATGTTAGCGGATATAGGGTCAGGCTGGAAAAAAGCTAGCGGCGGTCAAACAAAAACTTGGCATCAGTCAATGAAATCCACAACAGTTGGTCTAAGCCACGTAGAAAGGTGTAGACTTCCAGGCTGGGGTCCTCGGGACGGTAAAAATCTATGGTTGGAAACAATTGGTGACATGGCTCAAAACCGTTCTCAGTGGCGCAGATACATCCACTCCCTGTGACTTATGATCTTCAATGAAACTGTTTTGTATTTCTTTATTACTCCTTTGTCTCACACCTCTGCTCACTGTTTCTATTATGCTTTTCTTGTACTTTCTTCTCTTGCTTCGCGTGCTACACGGAATGTGGCGACTTGAACTTCCGCACATTTGTGCAAAGTTCTATGTCGAAAACAGACAGACAGACAGATTTAATTGGTGGATGCCCAGACATCGTCGAATCATCTGCACAAGAAGCCGACATGTCAACCTGAGACCGTGCACTTCGGTCCAATCAATCGACGGGAAAACCTAAAATTCAATTAAATCAGTGTGACCCGTTGCACAAGAGGTGGCTCTCGTGGCCCAAGTGGTCTAGTGGATAACGCTTTGGCGTTTGAAACTATGGGCACCGGGTTCGGGCCTCGATGGGAACATCACCACTCACTGAGAAATGCAGGCACATCCAGCTGACGAGTCTCAAATAGGTCAAAATGCGCGTTATCCTGGATTCCACTGCTAGTCATGATCCACCAATTAAGTGAACTTTTGTTCAAAATAATTCTTACTTATAATGCAGGGTCACATCTATTGTATGAGAGCTAATAATATCGAGTCTTTCAAGCTGTGAAGTGGGACCACATTCTCACATAGGTGGAAAGTTAAATGGTGAAGCCAGTGAACCGCATTTCTGTGGTTATAGCTCTTGACGTGGACACTACAATTGCATGATCATATGGAATAACTATTCTTTCGTTTGTTTGATAGATTTCAAGTGGTTAGCGTCTCACTTTGATAAGACTGGTGATTACTGGGAACTCCTAGAGTTTATCTGTGCAGCATTGGTTCTAAGTTTGCTTCTCATAAACTCCTTGTTTACAGTGCTAGTTTTTGTGTATAGTCACTATCTGATTACATTTTCCTCTCCAAATCGTCAACTTCGATACTGAGTGATTTTGGTTTAAAAGCTCAAAGGCGGACATGACTTCTCGTATTGCGACTGGTATGTATTCTAGGTCACGAGCTTCTTGTTGATTGCTCCTTTCAACGTCACAGTTAATTTTGTAATACCATATTCTGCCTCTATTAGTAATGTAGTTTTGTCTTAGCGGTTTTTTAATTTGTGAGATTTACAAACAAATCATTACTCTTTGTTATAGACGCATCATTTACAATGTCCTTTGGAACCTGAATTATTTAAAGGAGTTAACTGCAGTGTCTTCTCCAGTCCGAAACCTATGACAATGGCCCTATCTGTATTGGTTTTAATTGAAATGTTCAATGCACTAAATAGGTAATTGTTTGTGCTATTTTTTTATTTTTTGTATGGTGGCAGCGGTTTCGTTTTTTAGTTTAGTTTTAACGTTAAAGTTTTTAAAATTTGCTACTCGTCGATGTAAATTATTGTATGTACTTGCTACAGATTGTAGTCATGTGTGAATGCCGAACCACTGTATAATTGTTAGTTCTCGTGGGATTTTTTAAACTCGTTGGTACTTTTAAATAAAATCATGGGGACTTATAATTGGGAAAAAAACAATGTTGATGAGGTGAGGAAAATAATTCGAAATCTGAAGTTTTATAGGCAGTCAAATGAAGATTCACGATGATGAGAACTAATTATTGTGTCAGTTGTAAACAACAGCAACTAAAGTAGTGTGGTGCATGCTGCTCAGGTCAATCACAGCTATTTTTTTTATGATGACTTACAGTATACCTCATATTACTAGCATGTCCAGTTTGCCTAAATTCTAAGTTACTCCTAATCCTGTATCTGTATCACTGAGTTGCATGTCTAATATTGTCAGTAGTTTTGATAGCCATCCAGTTAAAGACTACTTCCTCATCCGTGACATTCTAATGGTGAATGGCTGTTTCGACTGCCTTCTCTGTTCAACACCGCTAGCTGATCGTCATCTAGTAACAAAAGCAGATATTTGTTAACTGAATTGTATGATTGTTTTTTTTGGTGGATTCCATCATCCACCAAAATAACATCTGTGTTAATCCTCAGACTTCGTCGAAGTGTCCTAATTAGTAGCTGACATGCCAAACGGATGAACTTAATAAAAAGTTAAAGACGAAGAAAACTGACCGAACTACGTAATTTACTGCTAATCTGTTACCTTTAACATTTATTTTGATCACATCAGTTTTTGCTCAAATTAGTTAATTAATTAATTTCTTTTGTCATTTGTACAGTCTTTCTGAGAATCAATCACTTCTTGTCATGCCTCCTTGGCATAATATGTGGCTTATCGCAGCTATCTGCTTCAGTATGACGTTACATTTTGCTATCCTGTACATTAATGTACTGGCGGTTAGTTTCCCCGTTTTTGATTTTGTCCTTGATCGCATTTTTCGGCCTTTAAAATATTTTAATTCTTATTGTAGTATGTAATAAAACTATCCTTTTTAATATTAATATCATAAATGCAATATTTCACTGAAAGAAATGGTGTGTTGTATAGTGCGCGCCACTGCTACCCCGGAGAGTGTAATTAGAAGATAATCATTTTATACATTTTGTTCCCTTGATAAATTTCGATAGAGAAAGAAAGACCAGATTTGCAGTATAAAGTAACATCATTCTACCTCACAGGTTGTCATCAGCTGCACACCACTACCTGAAATTACAATGGTTATAAATAATAATATTTCATACTTCATTGTTTGAAAGGTAATAAAGAAAACATTATAAGATGAACGTATCCGGAATATAAGTATTACAATTATTTGTAGTTTAAGTTACCATCGGTTTATATGCTATCAAGATTGTCGAGATTTCCAAATCCTTCAAAATCTTAAACATATAAGGGAGAGCGAACCTACTACGATTTGCTGAAGCAATCGCAATCAAACATCTCAAACCGAACTTATGCATTCTGTAAAAGAGTATAGTCAATCTCTCACTCCCTTGGTAACCGTCTCACTTTCATTACACTGATTAGTCATACACACTAGTGAGCTCAGCTCACTAAGCAAGTTTTCAATTTGATGAACGTTAACCTTTTTGAGTTACCATGATGATGTACAAAACTAACACTATCTATTAGATTTTTCTGTTTCCCATCACCCCCTCCTCTTTTTTCATAGTTTGATAGCATATAAATTGATGGCAACTTAAACTAAAAATAATTGTAATGCTTATATTCCAGATGCGTTCATCTTATGATGATTTCTTTATTACCTTTCAAACATTGAAGTATGAAATATTATTACTTATTATAACCATTGTAATTTCAGGTAGTGGTGTGCAGCTGATGAGAACCTGTGAGATAGAATGATATTTTAAACTGCAGATCTGGTCTTCCTCTCTCTGTCATAATCATTTTCCACCGAAGACACCTATTCATAGTGAATAAACGTAAATATATTCTCTGTAGCGATGAGTTCCCATAACTTTTATTTAATCATACAGGACAGTCATATGTAGGTAAACGTTAAAAGTATGATAATAAATTGCACATGTGTTGTGTGTCCTTTATACTCCATATGACTGTGCAAGATTGTGCAGTGAACCATAGGATACAATCTTTTCTTATAGGCTATAAATATACGTCTGGTGGTAGGTGAAGTTGTTAACTAGCCTTATAACCCACAGTATATCTATGCACAATTTGCACTTGTAATTTTTTTTTTATAAAGATGAATGTTTCAGTTGTTTGGTGATGTGCCAATAAAAGTACTCAGTAGATTAAGAGTCCTCCCATTGAATTTTAACAACAATTACTACCAATAGGGTGCAGCAGGTTGGGTGTGAGGACAAATACTCGCCGAAGACATTGGCTGGGGTCACGCTATGTCGTGAATTGGCTGAAGTTAGAATTCATGGGTTGGCCATTGAATCGGGTCCCAGTGGCATAATGGTATACGAGCTCGCTAGCCTCGTAACCAGAAGGTCCTAGGTTCGAATCCCGGTGGGTGCGCACTGCGAAGAGTCCCAAACTAGGATGAAACAGATGTCTAGTACTCACAGGTTTTCCAATGGTTCTCTAACTAATATCAGCTCATGATGAAATCCCGTAACCAACCAATCAAATCCCTACAAACCAACACTTGAATTACTACTCAATTGCTTATAACCTGCATAGAAAATTGACAATTTCATGTTTGCATGCTAAAGTCTTCACCACTCATAGGAGGTTTTTTTAATTTACTGATCCGATTCAAGTCAGTGTATGTGATTACTTCAGTTTCGTCTTTATATCATAAATTACTGGATTTTTTTCAAATTCCTAAGCATATTTCCAACATCGTTTCATCTCACACTCAAGTGAGTCTTGACTATTCGAGTGGCCAGTTGTTAGTCGCGAGCTGTTATTCAACGTACATAACTGCTTATCCAGTAGTGTGATGGAAAATATTACCATCGTCTCACAATCCTGACTACTTTGTATTTCGTACAAAAATACACTGAAATAGAAACTTTTTAGCTAGTCGTTAAATCTTGCCTGTTGATGTTTTCCCACTTTCCAGGTCTTAAAAGTACCCGTCAAACATTTAAAGAATCAGCTGTAGTGAAGTTTGTGCACCCTGAGATCTTATTATGTGGTTCTAAGTATGACTTGTGGATTGTTGTTCAGGAACGCATCAGACGATTAAATTGATAGTAAATAGGAAACTGCACAATGAGGCGTGATCGACGGATAATGAGTGGACAAGAATTTTGCCGGTAAAAACATGTGACTACTCTTGTGTACTGCTGTGTAGTTGTCATTATGGCGTTACTGTCTCTGTCTGTCTGTCTGGATTCAACATAGAACTTGGCACCGAAGTGCACCAGTTCGAGTTGCCACGTTCCAAATAGCACACAGAGGTAGACAAGAAGATGAGTGAAGAGAATAAATAGAGTTCGACAAGTATAAGAGTGAAACAGAATGGGTAATGGTAGAAAGGAATATGAAAGATTACAGAGACTGAATACATCTGCGCTGGCCATTGACAACGATGAGTTCGAGCCATGTCACCTATTGTCTCCAGCCATTGATTCCTAGAGTCCCGAGGGCACCAACCCGGAAGTTTGCATCTCCCTACCTGACTCAGTTTAACTATCAAGGATTTCATGGATTGATGAGGCCATGTTTTTGTTTGGCCACCACTGGCTCTTTTCCGACCTGCACCTATATCAGCTAGTAATGCCCGTCTGTCGGGGGAGGCGATAATTAGACATGCGCAGCATGTGACCAAACCATCTCAATCTATGTAACTTTATGGCCTCGTCGATTGATTTTCCCTCTTTGCCCAACACTCTACGCCTAAGGTCAACATTACTTACCTTATTAAACCACCTAACGTGAGAAAGAGATCGTAGACATCTATGATCAAAAACAGTCAACCTTTCCATGTCTTCAACTCGTATTGGCCATGTTTCAGAGCCATAGAGAAGGACGGAGCGAACTGCTGAGCAGTACACACGTCCTTTGGTTGATAGTCGGATGTCACGCCTACGCCAGAGATAGCGTAAGTTAGCGAAAGCAGCTCGAGCTTTTTGGATCCGTGCTGATATTTCGTCGCCAATCAGTCCGTTGGTGCTGATACAACTTCCCAAATAGGTGAAGTGGTCAATATGTTCTATCACTTCATTCCCTATCGCTAAGCTAGGAGTTGACGTGGTCCAGTCGTGTAGCAGCATCTTACATTTTCCAGGGGCGAATCGCATGCCAAACATACGAAGATTGCTGCTCAAGGTGTTCAGAAGACTCTGCATTTTGTCATCATCCTCCCCTAACAGGACTATGTCATCTGCATATTCTAAGTCCATAAGACTATTCCTTGGTAACAAGTCGATTCCTAAGTCGTTACGTTCAGTTAAGGATACTTCCATCAGCATATCTATGATGAAGTTAAACAGAAATGGGGAAAGTGGACATCCCTGTCGGACACCACTGGTTGTTACCAATTCAGATGACAATTCCCCATAAGCCCTTACACGACTACGTGAGTTTGAATAGAGTGCCTTGATTAGTACAATGTACTTTCTTGGCACTCCCTTCACAGTCAGACATTGCCATAGTACCTTTCGATCCACGGAGTCGAAGGCCGCCTTAAGTCAAGAAATATGACAATTGTTGGACGCCGTTAACTCATGTAATAGTCATTATCATTCAATAACCAAGCTGGTTTATCTCTGTCAGCATAGTCTAGCTGTAGTGTCAAGGTAGGATTTAAACAAATTTCTATAGTTGTCCCGTCTATAGTCAATTGCTACTTACATTCGTTCTTTTACATTTTGGTTTTTAACGTCTCGTTAGTCACTAAAGCAATGATGTTTTTTGACATTTCTATTTGTATTTCAGAATATATTCCAGATTGCTGCCCTGAATATAACAGAATGGTCTGCTGTCGTTAAGATATCCCTACCTGTACTATTATTGGATGAAACACAAAAGGCTGTAGTCCGGTCTGTTCAAAAAGGTCATAATCCAATATACGAGGCAACAATTCCAATGGTGATGTGGTGTTTCTATGCCGTTTTCCTAGCTTTTAATCCATTGTGATCATCCAGCCAGTAGTTTTTATCCTAATTTATATAAACTAACCGACTGATTTTTGACAAATATTTTCAACACGTCGGTATGTGTAAGCATTCTCATGTGATCCTCCACATTTTCGATTTACTTCCAGTATTGTTTTTGTTTTTTCTTACCATAATTCATTTATTATCAGAATATATATATATTGGCTCACAGATCATGTGTTTCTCTGTATGTGATTTACACATGCTGTGTTCGTGTATTGTTCTGTGTTTTTCTCCTCTTTCTCTCAAAATCTTAGGCAATAATATTTCAGGGACTCTACTCCCTTTTCTATCTTTGTTTATGGGTTGTATCATTGATCATTATCTTTTTGATGTTGTTCTTGTTGTCCATGTATTGATACCGTATTCCTGTATAAAGTATCCATTCATACATACACATCGTCTTAATTATCTTCTCAGAATCCTGCAGTTTATTTTACAGTACATATTATTATCATCAAAGTCCTATATCTATCTGTCTGTCTGTTTTCGACATAGAACTTTGCACATATGTGCAGTTCAAGTCTCCACACTCCCTCTTTGTAGCACACAAAGCAAGAGAAGAAAGAAGAAATGCATAATAGAGACAGTAAAAAGAGGTGTGAGACAAAGGAATAGTAATAACGAAGAACAAAACAGTTTCATTGGAAACCATAAGTCACAAGGAGTGGATGTATCTGCGCCAGCCATTGAGAACGATTTTGAGCCATATCACCAATTGTTTCCAGTCTTCATTGGTTTTTACTGTCCCGAGGACCCCAACCAGGAAGTCTACATCTTCCTACGTGGCTGACTGGCTTATACTAACTGTTGTTGATCTCATTGACTGGTGCCATGTTTTTTTGACCTCCGATAGCTCTTTTCCAGCCTGACCCTATATCCGCTAACATTGCCCGTCGAGGAAGGCGATGACTAGGCATTGGTGCGTAACACATGTCGTAACCATCTCAGTCTATGTAACTTCACAACCTCGTCGATAGGACGCAGAAAAACATGATCAAGTACGGCTAATCTTTGCATGTCTTCCACTCTCAATGGCCAGGTCTCACAGCCATAAAGGAGGACGAAGCGGACAGCTGAGCAGTACACATGCCCATTGGTCGATGGCTGAATATCACGTCTACGCCAGAGACGGCGTAAACTGGCATATTCGAAACTAGTCCTCTGTATCCGTGCTGAGATTTCGTCAGAGATCAACCCGTTGGCACTGTCGGATGGTACTTCCCAAATAAGTGAAGCGGTCAACGTGCTCTACCACTTCACTTCCTATTTCTAAACTAGGAGTCAGTGTGGTCTAGTCAGTCCTGTAACGTCGTCTTGCATTTGGTGGGAGGGAATCGCATGCCAAACATTCGTAGATTGCAGTTCAAGGTGTTCAGAAGACTCTGCATTTTGTCAGCGTTCTCGCCTAAAAGGACTATATTGTGTGCATATTCTAAGTCAGAGATTATTTCCTGGTATCAAGTCAATCCCTCAGTCGCTGAAGTCAACAGTTAGGGTTAAGTCCACTAGTCCATCTATGGTGAAGTTGAATAGAATCGGGGACAATCGGCAGATAGTCAAAGTCCTATGATCAACAATTAGGCGCGTTTTATATGCATCGCGTACATATATGTGTGTAGTCGTGATAACGTGTTTTGTTGTGCTAGTCTTTGTTTCATAGTAAGAGGATTGGCGATACGATAATCACTAGTAGTATTCAAAAGTGTTCAGGGTGTTGGAAATTAAAAAGAGGTTACACTTACTTTATGTGTATAAGAATTTTTTAAATTCACAAGAAGTAATTGTGTCTTAGCTGTGATGTTTTATGCCTGGGAACTCAGTTGTGCTGCATTGATTTTTACACGTATCACGCTATGAGCCACAGTTGACGTCTGAAGTAGTGGGTGTGACAGCATATCGAACTCCGGATCCATTGGTTCAAAGTTACATAATGCGGGACGATGAGGAGCTTATTCTGTCGTTGTAATGAGGTATGAATGGCTTCGTTTGGAGGCGAATTTCTTAAACATCACAATCTTCATCAACCAACTTAAGTACATCGTAATTACAGTCAACGAATGTACCTGGTCACACCTATATTTTGCCGTGTTCTTCGAAGAAAATGATGTGATAAAACGTCTCTTCTTAACCACTTCATTGGATATAAGTTACAAATTTTAGTATCTATGCCGTCCATTTTTTACAGTACTCAGAGCTACATCATAATTTGCTCCTCTGCTTCATCGCGTGCGCGAAGTAATGATAATAAACATGTGACCGGCAAGGGGCTATCTTCTGTTGACTGTCACTTCTAATGGGCAAATAGTCTTGCTGATGCGCAATGTACTTAACCATTCATGTTAGGTATATCATTTTCTCCAAATGTGGAACAGATTGGCAAAATCCACTTCAAACTCTCGTTTTCATGCGTACAACTTGCATATATGAAATGTTAAGACGATTTGATTTACGTCGTACTTATACTTTTTACGGATATGTTTCCAGTGTTGGTTTATTACAAACTACTTCCGAGGCACGGTTCAACTTATAAAGTTCCAAGATCCGTAATCGTATTCGTCATTTGAATGTACTTCCCTCGACAAATGGTTTCTGCAAATTTTCGCAACCAGTTCATTCAGCAGGATTTCGAGTACGATAAATTATGTGTTAAATCAAATAACGTGAGGTCTGTTGGTTGGGTTATACTTGTATGATGGCATCAGCAGCTGCGACGACGCTATGCCGACAAGATAGTCTTTTTTTTTGATGATATTACGCGCTGTACAAATCATGTCTAGGCTGTTAGTGGTGTGTCTGTAAACGTGTTCGGTGCATGTGTATCGTTCAAGCATGAACTACTGTCGCGAGTTTTGTGAGAGCCCGTGCTCATAATTAACCTCATGGGTTAACCAGTACGAGTAGTCGCGAAGTTTGTGGGAGTGGTATATGCTAACCTTCGGCACATCTAGTGCCTTCCCAAAACTACTCAGGTTTACAACTTTTTCGGTGTGTCTGAAGTCGCCTTACGTCTTTGAAACTTGAGTTATTTGAGTCTTGTATTTGGTCGTCGCTGTCATATGTCCAACATTTGACACGAATGCTATCTCTTTGTTTCCCTGGCTATTCTCTGTATGATTGCCATGAAACTGGTTTGAGAAGTGGTCACTACATAAAGTGATAGATAAGGATGAAATATATTTGTGTTGGATTAAGTTAGAATCTGCTGGTTTACTAGGAGTGGCTTAAATGATGCTCAAGAGATTTCAGGGAACTCAAATGTGACTCATTGTCAATATTATTAGCAATGTCTATGTTGTTTTACTGTTGTCTGAATTCTTAAACACTTTTTGAATGTACTTAACTAGTTTGCTTACTTTCTACATATTGTTGTGTGATTTTAGCTTTAATATTTGTAATAACAAATGTAACTATGATGTCGGATGACAATAATAGGGAATTGTAAAACATGATTATTAAACTTACATCCTAGATAATTTCGTTAAACTTGTTGATTACTTAAAAGAAATTGCAGATATCACCCCACAAAATCGGTGTTCCTTATGCCAAATCAATAGTTTTAGTGATACCTATTTTGCTATGCGGTAAAATCTGCGAATTCAATAAATATATATTTATAGTAGTCTTGTATGTGTTATTAAATATTAGCTTATATTCTTATATCATAAGGTAGTATCCGCATATAACTAACCTGATAGAACCATCGTTATAATCGATATTTTAAAGAAGATTAGATGTACATTGGTAGATTTAATTTTTCATGTGATTGCATTATTAAAATCCATGCAGATAATTTGCAATTCTGATTATATAAAAAGGTAGTTCAAATTACAGTGATACTTATAGTGTAGGAATAGATTTTGGACACTGGTGGAATATAATCGCGTATCAGATGAGTTTCTTTATAATGATATAACACAGTGATACAGTATTAAGTAAATAGATGACATTCTGAGCTCAAGAGGTGGGATTGAGGCTGTGTACAACTAGTCGGGAAGTCATCTGAATACACTGACTGACTGGTTTCAACATAGAACTTTGCACCGATGTGCAGCAGTTCGAGTCGCCACACTTCATTCAGCACACAAATCAAGAGAAGAAAGTAAAAAGAAACGCAAAATAGAGACAGTAAACAGAGATATGAGGCAAAAAGAATACTAATATCGAAGAACAATATAGTTTTATAGGATATTATAAATCGAAAAAAGTGGATGCATTTGCACCAGCCATTGAGAACGATTTTGAGACATCAACAATTGTCTCCAGCCTTCTTTGGTGCTTACCATGCCGAGGATCCCAACCAGTCAGGGAGTCTACACCTTCCTACGTGGCTGACTGGCTTAAATTAACTGTTGTGGATTTCATTGACTGATGAAGCCACGTTTTGGTATGACCATCGCTGGCCCTTTTCCAACCTAATCCATACTATGTCAGTCAGCTGATATTGCCCATCGGGGAAGGCGATGGCTAGATATGCATGAGTTGCACACGTCCTAACCATCTGTCAGTCGGTGTAACTTCACAGCTTCGCTGATTGATTGATTTCCCCTCCTTACCTAGTACTTGATGCCTAAACTCAACATTGCTCACTCTATTATATCACTTCACACAGGAGATAGGACGCAGACGCCTATGATCAAAGACATCTAGTCTTTTTATGTCTTCTACTTTCAATTGCCACGTCTCGCTCACAGCCATAAAGGAGGACGGAGCGGACTGTTGAGCAGTACGGCCACCCTTTGGTCGATAGCCGGATATCATGTCTAGTAAGCCAGACATGATGTAAACTGGCATATGCCAGACGAGCCTTCTGTATTCGTACTGAGATTTCGTCAGCGACCAACCACCCGCTGGCGTTGGCTGACTAGACTTCTTATGAAAGTGAAGTGGTCAACATGCTCAACCACAACTTTACCCCCCTATCTCTAAGCCAGGAGTTAATGTAGTCCAGTCATGTAGCATCATCTTACATTTGACATA